CTCTTATCTTGTCTGTAATTCAAGAGAGCTTATCTTTTATGGCCRAAAAACTCAAACAGYCAGTTTTAGCCAGACAAATTTACATTTCCAGTGCAAATATTTATGTCTGTTTGATGTAAAGGTGACAGATTTTGGGTCATGTTTACTTTAAGGGCTTGATAAGGGATAAGATATAAATCTGTTATCAAGTAAATTTATCAATTATTGTTGCACAAAAGGCTATGACTYGAAGAAAAATATTTTCTTATACTATGATAGCACTAGTAAATCTAAAAGCCCCTTGCAAGTGACAGCTCCTTGTATTGCATGACATAAGATATTCATGAATGTCGTACACTTAAACAAAAATTTGCAAGAAAATTACTTTCTCAGAGACAAAAAGTTTGTTTTCAATAGTTAAGTTATTTTATCTATGTTGTTTTATGGTCTGCAGTGAATGACAATTAATTGATTATGTAATCGATTATATACCTGATATTAAAACTACAACAAAGCTTGAGGGCCTGTTACTGGTACAATGAAATCAACTGKAAAGCTGAACATAAATTAATTTATAAATGTTTTTCTCTGTTTTTAGCTTTGTCTGATTAATGTCTAGTGATACTAACCTGAGTTTATAGATTCTGCATTGCTAGCTTGTGCACTGTCTTTCTCCGTTTCTTCCTTCGTTTCAGTGTCRTTATCATCAGACTCTTCGACCACAACTAGTCTGTCATTGATAGCCGGCTTATGGCTGTGACCGTGGCCTCCACCGCCATGACTGTGGCCATGTCCATGTTGATGAAACATAGCCAGACCTATAACATTGATAACTAGACCTACACCRCCAACTATTAATACAAGAGTAGGATTATGAATCGATTCGACCTCGATTAGCCTTTTTAAAGACTCGACCAGTATGGAGAAACACAGAGCAATGAGAAATACKGCATTGATCAAGGCCCCAAGAACTTCAGCTCTCTGCCATCCAAACGTATTTCGGTCTGTTCTTTGGCTACGCTTTGAATATCTTAGAGCAACAAAGCCAATTATAAGGGACATCACATCGGACAGCATATGAAACGAATCGGCTACTAACGCCATKGAATTAGTAGCGTAACCAACAACTATCTCAACGAGGAAGAACGAAGATGTCAAACTTAACATCCATATYACTGTACCAGTTTTACCACATAGTCTTTTACGAAGAGTTGACTTGGATGCCATTGTTATATTTGCTGTGATTTTCTCCGCAAATTTAATTTAATTCCCAGCTGTTTAAAATTGCTTAAATCAAGCAACTGACATTCCCCAGTTTAACCTTGAAAGAAGGGAAAAAACGAGCCGATTAAATARAGGTTTAGTCGGTTTAGCTGCTCTCAAGATGTTGAATATGTGCCGTCGTTCCGTGGAGTTGTTTTGGACGGTTAAACGAATGACTATAAACAACACAGCGTCCGTCACATGAGACACTTTGAACTCGAACCATATGACACGACAAAATAGCGAAACGCCGATTGTATTRYTTACAATATCAAAACACTTCGCTAAGGTTAAACACAAGTTATTCGTTACACTAACTACTAGAGAATATCACCCAAACATGAAATACCTTATTTTTGCTGGAATACCCTATGCAAGACGACAAAATGCTTCAGTCCCAAGAAGAGAGAAAATTTTCACAATCAAAATGGCGGACAATCCGACTCAAACAAGGGGTTACACAGGAAGCCCACCCAGTAACGCATGATTCCACTCTATGCMGAAAATCGTCAGACACGGCAAATAAGATAATACCTTTAATTGAACATGTCCTTTCTTTATACATTCTAAAACAAATATTTGGTTTGTAARGTCACCGGAAGAGAGTAGATAATCACGCGGAGTTCGCATGTTATTTTCTACATTTCATGTGACTATGCCAGTGACGGTCACGTTTCACGGAAATCATTCTTTATAAATAGACAATAAAACTGTTACAGAGATCATAGAAATGCCTAGGAAAATACTAACACATAAAATAAGACAACAAATTGTGAGTTTTCGATATGAAATGAAATTACAGAAGAAAAGATACTGAATAAAGGAACGAAAAGACGAAGCCGGAAGCGATTGAAAAGAGAAAGAGAAAGAGTCTGCAATGAAATAATGTAGCCTGAATGTAGCTAAAAGAAAGGGAAATCTAGAAGTATGAATATCAAAGGTAAAGAAACAACAAGGAAAAGAAACAACGCAAAACAAAAGAAAGCTAAATCAGCCTACAAAGAATTTATTTCTCTATTATTTTTTTCTCTTTTACGAAGACTTTGAATTTCATTGATTGAGAGGATAGAGTCGATCTACTTTGAGTGGAAAATGACGATGTACRATTATAAGGAGAACAATCAGAATACTCCACTTTCGAGATCTTATTTGTGCAGTCTTAAAGGGACACTGTCAATGGCACGCATGCGAGAGTAAACTTGAAAACATTAGGCTAGTGTTTTCAAGTTTATGACTCCAAGTTGGCGCGACATAAATCAGCTCGTAAACGTAAACAGATCTAGAATATTCCAAAGTGTGTCAAAAGCACCACAAAATGATTTATCTCGAAGGTAATACTTTCAAAGTCCGTTAAAGGTGAGACTGTTACCGCGCATGTCATCCATTCACAGTGTCCCTTTTACCTCGAAAGCATGTAATATATTCTTTTATTCAGCAGAGAATTTATTGTAATGAAAACAGTCTGTGTACAAAGAAGACAATAAACAATTTATACTTGATTGAAGCTAAGCTTGCACAAAAGAGAATTCGAAACTGGAGTATTGAGACGATAAGTCTTCGACACGGCTACGACTGGGCCTCGATACGGTAACGACAAGTCTTCGAGGTTATGAGCATTTTCCATTCATAGGAAATAAATCGACTCTGTTCTCCAATGCATAACAGTTTATCAACAATTCCAGAAGCTTACTTTGTATTCCCTAACAAGATGACTTTATAAGTGATAAAAGTCCTTAAATCTGTTAAATAATATTTATAATAAATATAACTTGCATAAGCTTGGAATTAAAAAGGGCAGATATCCCTATCAATACAATGGACCCCCCTATGGTACTCGGTAAGGCAACACTGAAAACCTCTTCAACCAGAGGTACCTCTATATAACGGACACCTCAATATCACGGGCACCTATTAATAATAACCTCTATATTTCGGACAGTTCTACAACAGATCTGACTTGTAACCCTCTATAAAACGGGCACTCGCACGATCTGAGGCGTTCGTATTAGAGAGACCTTAATCATGAAAACTTATATAAAAAAAACTTGTTTTGCAAAGTGTAATCAGTAACAGTAATTCATTGCGCGCTTGGCGGAATATTTTCAAAGCTTTTTATAAGAATGATTTAAAATAAAACTTGATTATTCCATATTTGGTAATATATTATCGATTCTTAGCAGTCGTCCATATTTGGTAAGCAAATCTATATTTGGCAATTACTATAATTTACTAATTTGAAATGTTGCTTTGATAATATAATATATATTTATCTCAAATACTAGTTTTAATCAAAATATTTCAATTTGAAGCCTCAACGAATTTTTCAAAATACAAATCCCCGCCATTAGCATTTGATATGAACTAATTTAGATAAAATTGAACTTTAGTTTGTCTCTTGTTGTTGATGTCTAAACATCGTCGTCATTTCGAATGTATGGGATCCCTGTGGCCAAAACTAAAACATTTGGTACGAATGTTCGCTTTTCCTTACCACAGGAAGACCACATAAGAGAATTACCACACATAGATATGGTAATTGTAAGACGCAAGCAAGATATATCACTATACATAACTATATAACAAATATTTACACTCCAATTTGAAAATTTAGCCTACTATTTTCACCCTAGTTCGTTTCCTGAAAGATAAGCAAGAATAGTGTAAGTTCATCTTGTCAAAACATAGTGTCATGAGGTTTTAGTTTGGTTCTCACCTTTACTCATTACTAGTCGAAGTCCTCTATCGGGTTTACAGGTACCACAATAACCACCACATTTACCAAATATCTTTTCTCCTTCCTGGAAAAGCCATAGCATGAAGTTACAATATAGCACATTTGCTGCGGTACCAGTAACTTGTTATGAGTTACCTTTGGTTGCATATTGTCAGTTACATGCCGGATAAATGGCATTGCATAACAATAGAACTGTTTCGTTTAAAACTGCATTTCATCGCAAAAATTGTAAGGTCGTGTTGCGTTACGGTTGTTCGCTGGAATCGAGTTATACATAATTGCATTGCGTTACTCCTGGTTGCATTGCGTTACAGATAATTGCGCTACATTCGATGGTCTGGGTGTGTATTGCGTTACTTACAGGATAAAAGTAAATATCTTGGGAAGATGATTGTCCGTGACTTGTCCACCTTACATCCAGTGATAATTGGAATCCTGTCCCTTTAAGATTAATACTGAACCGACCCTGAAAATACGTTGGACAAGAACGAATGATGACATGAATCAACTACGATAGGTAATCATTCTAATCATCAGAGTTGCCAATCAAAACGAACAAACGAACCCCCCTCCCTTCCCCCCTCCAAAAAAATATAAAGAGATAACCAACAAATGAAACCTACGAACCAAACAACCAAGCAATAAACCGACCAACCGACCAATGAATTTAATCACAAAGTCAAAGCAATCAACAAAACCAACCAAAGAACCTACCMRGCAACTAACTGTTCGAACAACTAAATATTAACCAAGAAGTGACTTACTTGTGGACAGTTAACTGTGCTGTAGCAATCCCCTGCAGTACCATATGACGGGAATTTGTTACCTCTTGTCATCGCAAACTCTAAATCATCAACTAGACAAAACGACAAAATTAAAAGGTTTATCGATGAGCTATAACAAAACACAGGGATCCCGAAGGTTTACTTACCATCTATAGTCATTKTTGAAATGTCTAATCGTATTTTAGAGAAGTAAGATCCACCAGATTCCTTGTAAATATCCGTGTGACATGAACATTTATCTGAGTGAGATTCGTTCACGTTACATGTATTAGGGTTGCGCAATCTATGGAAGAGACAGATTAAGTTAGAGTTCAATCTTTTTAACTAAGAAAGAAAACTGTTGACTTTTGACATTACCTTTTTGAATAAACTTCTGCAAAATTTTCGTTATAGCCTGCCTTTAGGGTAATGTATTCCCTGGGGTTGTTTGTAGTCATGCCATGGCAATAGATCTATTTTCATAATAAAAATTATATATTAACAACTAGGTGGGAAGAAAGATGAATGGGATGAAAGAAACTAAAAGTAGAAAAATAAATCAACTGAAGGAAGAGGTCAGCAAGTGCTATATTAACATCACATGTCAATCTCTATTTCACTCACCTTGCGTAGTTTGCCCTGTATTTCAAGTACGTGCTCCCCATCGGCCTGCAATCCACTGGTCAGCTGTATTTCCCTACATGTTCGTGGCGTACCTGGGCATATGATCACATAGTTGTAATTTATGGACAAATTGTTCACACAGTACTACAACGAACAGTACAAGAACGCTACTAAAACGTATTACTACGAGAGGGAGCTCTACTTACATGGTGCCATGCGACAAGGTCGAGTTTTGTCTGGTTTTAATGCAGGGAGCCTGCAGAACGAGTCTTTTCTTTGTGTACCATTGTGATCTGTGCATCTGACAGACCTCTCTATAACACCTACACCACAACTAACGGAACACTGGGGAGAAAAAACACGATGATAAATCCAAAAAATAAAAAAAAAAGAAAGAGGCGAAACAAAAAATGAGAATAAGGGGGAGTAGGTAGGGGATTTGTCTTTATCAGTAATTGATTCTTACTCTCGTCCAAGGCCCAATCTTCCAYAAAAACTCTCTACTACAGGGGCCAAAGTTACAATGCCTCCAAGTTGGTGGTTTCTTCCTTAGATCACAGTCTCCTACACCTGGCACACCCTCACACGTAACGGGTCGAACCTGATAACCGGCACCACAAGTCCGTGAACACTAATGAAAAATAACAGTAGGTTTAATAAGATAGAAAAGATATCGATCTCAAGAGTATGTTACGTACTTCAGACCAGTCACCAAACTTCCACTTCGGGGGACATCTTACTTCAAAACACGGTACAAACTCAGCAGGTTTTGCTTTCTGATCACAGTATTTACTTGAGACCTGTCCACCTTGGGCGTCACTACACGTAACACGTCGCGATTTCCTTCCGTATCCACACGTACGTGAGCACTACGCAAAAACGACAATCATTAGTCTAACAGAAAACGTAATATTTCCGCAACACTTCCTATACTTCTTACGGAAATAATTTACTAATACGCAACGCTTTGTTATTCCTCTCCGTGACTATACGCTTGTAAAACGCTACGTAAGTCAAAATCAGCAAACGACTTCCGTAACGTGAACATGACACAGGAATCCCATCACTAACCTTACTCCACAGTGATGTTCTCCAGGCGAATAGTTTCGAGGCCAAAGGGCAGTATCGATTAGAACAAGCTTTACGTGCAATTGGCCGAGTAGACGYATCACAATCTTCTTCGCTATATTCTAGATTATAAAGACAACGAACGGCACGTGATCTGACACCATCACCACATGATGTTGAACACTAGAAATGAATGGAAGGGAATTAAAAGAAAAATGATCAGTTTGAAAGTCGTAAATCTCTGAGCCGTAACATTTCCTTAGCTGATCAAGGTTTAAATACAAAATACTCTTTCGTTMACCTTTCCTTATGGGCCTATTTCCCAATCTCTAGTTAATCAAGGTCTATAAAATACTCACCTTTCCCCACGGGCCTATTTCCCAGCTTCCACATTGCTTATGTTCATTACAGATCCTGACAACTCTCGGCTTTCGCCCTCTGCAGAAAATATAGTTGATCTTCGTACCATTTCTTGCAGCACAAGTTACTTGCCTGATCTGTAAGCCTTTAGAACATTGAGTTGAACACTGTGGAACAAATCGTAATTACTTTAGTCCAAATTTAGAGTATTCTCATCGCTTGAACAAACAGGAATCCCAACAGAGCGGTAGCGAGTCCATCCACTGACTTCGTTGTCATTGCTTATCACGTGATCTATTGACACTGTCTATTGCCATTTTCACTGACTACTGTAGTTGTCATTGTGAAAAGTTGTTAGTATACCTTTGCCCATTTTCCTTTCTTCCAGTATGTTCCATGTATGCATTCCCGCAGCTCACACAGTTTTCGTGAAGGCGGTTTTTCAAATCTTTTACACAAAGATGAGTCCACGCGTTGTTTACCTCTCACACATTGTACTTGTCGACTTGTTATTCCCGTTCCACATGTTCTTGAACACTACCAAATAAATCAGTTAATCATCCAGTTAATAAATGAGTGACAATGTCAATCAATCAATCAACCAACATACCAATCAATCGATCGATCGATCAATCAATCAATCAATCAATCAATCGATCGATCGATCGATCGATCCATCAATCAATCAATCCATCAAGCAATCAATCAACCAACCAACATACCAATCAATCAATCGATCAATCAATCAATCAATCAACCAACCAACCAATCAACCAATCAGTCAATCAATCAATCAATCAATCAATCAATCAATCAATCAATCAATCAATCAATCAATCGTTGCATACCTTGGACCATTCACCAGTTTTCCATGAAGGACAATCCATGATTTTACAGTCTTTTTGTGTCGATGGTTTAATAGATTCATTGCACTTAGCTTCTGAGTTGCTACATACCACAGATCGCGATTGTACTCCATTACCACAACCCACAGAACACTAGAGAAAAACAACAACATAAAACGTTTACAAACTCATTTTATTTCCCATTGAGATTCTTAAGATCTTACTTTGCTCCATTCAGATGTGATCCATTCTGCGCAGGCTGGCTTTACACATCTTTTCGTATTCCTTGGTCGATTATTCATGTCTGGACATGGTCCATGTTTAAAGTCACATCTGACATTTCGAAACTGGACTCCGCTATTGCAGCTAACTGAACACTACAGATATGAAATAAGGAAATTATAACAAATCAATTTACAATTCAATCAATAACTCAATTCAACAATCAATCCGTCAATCAATCAATCAATAGCAATCAATCAATCAATTCAACAATCAATCCGTCAATCAATCAATCAATCAATAGCAATCAATCAATCAATTCAACAATCAATCCGTCAATCAATCAATNTCGCAGGTAACCTCTCTAGTTTGTACACCATTTCCGCAGCTAACAGAACACTCACTCCATGCGTCAGTCTTCCATGTGGGACATTTATGTGTATTGCATACTCGTCTTGTATCAGGTTTAATATTTTTATCACATGGTACACGATCTGAATCACATGTAACCTCTCTAGTTTGTACACCATTTCCGCAGCTAACAGAACACTAAAAGTGAATTAAAAAATAAAAACAAAATGAAAAGATGAAAATAAGAGTAGAATATTTTATCATTCTCACCTCGCTCCAGCTTTCAGAAATCCATCGAGGACACGGTACTCGTTCACAGTTCTGGAGCTCATTTGGTTTATTTTCAGAGTCACAATTGCCTTCTCCAGTATTACAGGTCACTGAACGTTTTTGAACTCCATCACCACATGTCACAGARCACTGGAAATACAATTGAAGATACATTTGAACCCCAAATGAAGATGATCGCTATCTATGACTCTGTTCTTACCTCCTCCCACCGTCCTGCAATCCACTGTGGACAAGGATCCATTATGCATGCCCTTTGTGATGGTGGTTTGGATGATGAACATGGAGCATCACGGGTACTACACTCCACATCACGTGACCTTACTCCTTGACCACACGTCACAGAACACTAAAGACAAAAAACTGCTTCATTTTTTAACTGAATGACAACATGTCCTAAATTTACGAGATCTCMTTATTTTCTTCACTGAAAAGGAAATGCATTTTGTTCACCGATCAGAAGGCTCTTCTATGGTAGGAAACAGAACGAAGCATTGACCAAAAGATGTCTCTCGTTTTAAAGTTATATTTTCGCCTAGGATACAATTTAGTATCGCATTCCCTTAAGCTAAAGGACCACAACAAAACACTCATTTCTGAACTTTGAAAACTTACTACACTCCAACGTCCAGTATTCCAAACAGGGCAGGGTCCAGGATTGCATCTTCCAACATTTACAGGACGTGTTTGTCGATTGCATTTCAAGGCAGTTGAGTTACAACGAACTGATCTTGTTTTTACTCCATYACCACAACTAACAGAGCACTATAAAATAACAAAATACATCTGAAATCCTTGTACTTAATGCACTGATATACCCTGGTCTACTTACTTTGGTCCATAGTCCCGTCGTCCAGCCAGGACAAGTTCCAAGATTACATGRTTTAATATGTTCAGGCTTGAGTTTATTGTTRCATCTYGCATTTGGTGRGTCACATTTTACTTCTCGATTCTGGAAACCCTCTCCACACGAGGAAGAACACTGTAAAGTCAWTGGTTATTATTAGTGGTGCAAGTAAAATCAGTAAATTTAACTTCTTATTGACTTACTTCACTCCAAWGACCCGCTTTCCATACTGGACATCGATCAAGATTACAYCTTTCGGAGTTCTGTGGTCGTAAYTTCTCATCGCATTCAAAGATGGCCGACTTACAGCGAACCGTTCGTGTCCGTACACCATCGCCACAGCTCACAGAGCACTGGGACCAAGGCTGTGCCTGCCAGACCGGGCATCCTCCCAGGTTACACACTCGATAGTTCTTGGGTTTTTTACGACTGTCACATTCTGAAGAAAGTGGTTGACATTTTATACTTCGCATTTGTATGCCTTTACCACACGACGACGAACACTATAACGGTATAATTTTGTTTATCAGTGTAAAGTATTGGGCTCCCTGTGTGTTCATGTAAGCATGCGCACTAATCCATACTATTTCACCACCTCATTCATATCAAAATCGTGATCATGAGGTTTGTGGAAAAAAGTACACCTGGTTACATCATAAAGAGGAAGATGGTATACCTCACTCCACAGTCCAGCAGTCCACACAGGACACTTTCCACGGTTACAACTCTGTACAATAGAAGGACGTTGACTGGGATCACAACTGAACACTGTAGAGTTACATTCAACTGTTCTTGTTCTTGTACCATCACCACAACTGACTGAGCACTGAGAATTATAANAAGACCCGCTTTCCATACTGGACATCGATCAAGATTACATCTTTCGGAGTTCTGTGGTCGTAACTTCTCATCGCATTCAAAGATGGCCGACTTACAGCGAACCGTTCGTGTCCGTACACCATCGCCACAGCTCACAGAGCACTGGGACCAAGGCTGTGCCTGCCAGACCGGGCATCCTCCCAGGTTACACACTCGATAGTTCTTGGGTTTTGTACGACTGTCACATTCTGATGAAAGTGGTTGACATTTTATACTTCGCATTTGTATGCCTTTACCACACGACGACGAACACTATAACGGTATAATTTTGTTTATCAGTGTAAAGTATTGGGCTCCCTGTGTGTTCATGTAAGCATGCGCACTAATCCATACTATTTCACCACCTCATTCATATCAAAATCGTGATCATGAGGTTTGTGGAAAAAAGTACACCTGGTTACATCATAAAGAGGAAGATGGTATACCTCACTCCACAGTCCAGCAGTCCACACAGGACACTTTCCACGGTTACACCTCTGTACAATACTAGGACGTTGTAGACTAGGATCACAATTGAACACTGTAGAGTTACATTCAACTGTTCTTGTTCTTGTACCATCACCACAACTGACTGAGCACTGAGAATTATAAAATATTTACGTTGAATTCCGTTAAACAATTACAACAACAACAATAGCAGCAACAGAAAAAGCAACAACTGCAACAAAACACTAAGTTACAATAATACCACATACTTTGCTCCACGCTCCAACAGTCCACGCAGGACAATGTCCACGATTACAGATTTTGGTATTTTCCGGTTTTAACGAGTCATCACATCTTGCTGAGGTTGGTTGGCACGTGACATTTCTCTTTTGTACACCATCACCACAGGACGATGAACACTGAAACACAATGATGATGATTTGATGATGATGATTTGATGATAGTAATACAGGTCAGAGATGTACGAAGAACGAAACGAAGAAGAATGTGATAGTGAGTCGATGAAACATAAGGACAACTTACCTGGCTCCATTGTCCAAACGTCCATTGAGGACAATATTCCAGCCTGCATCTCTCTGCATTTACTGGTCGTATTTTATCATCACATTTAAAWATAGTCGAGTTGCAMTCCACATCTCTTCGTCTGATACCCTCACCACAGCTGGCAGAACACTACATTAATATCAAAATACCATTATCAAACACTGCAAGGAGATACTGAGAGAATACTCGAGCTACTTAATACTTGATAGATAATACTCGTTTACTTAATCTGCTTAATTGACTTCATCGCAGTAAATGTTTCCTGGTCATTGCATACCTTGCTCCACTCGCTTGCTATCCATGCCGGACAAAGTCCAGGATTACAACGTTTGGTGATATCTGGCTTTAAACGTCGATCACAGCGACCAGATGGCGGTTGACAAGTTATTCTTCTTCTCTGAATGCCATTACCGCATGATACTGAGCACTATTAAAAAACTCATTGACATTAGTAAGACTAAATTACTAAGTGCAAAGACTGTTAGGTAAGTCAAAGGTTTCAATTGTTTGTCTATTAGTTATATTGTTGATATTAAATAGTTTCCAGATAATGAAGAGCTATGCTTAGTGGACTAACCTTGCTCCATGGTTCAGCTGTCCAGGAAGGACAGACTGGCATGTAACAATGTTTCTGCATTAGTGGTTTTGTCTTCTCATTGCACTTGTTTTCTGTACTACATGAGACTTGTCGAGTAACGGTACCTTTACCACAGGACACGGAACACTAGGAAAGAAACGATTTGACAATAACTGTATGATATAATGGGCCTTTGCCACAGGACACGGAACACTAGGAAAGAAACGATTTGACAATAAATGTATGATATAATGGGCCTTTGCCACACGACACGGAACACTAGAAAAGAAACGATTTGACAATAACTGTATGATATAATGGTTGTGTAAAAAGATTGACTTTTACTCCGACGAAGGATTAACGTCCGAAACGTCAGTAAGTTACTTCACATTTTTTTTTCACTTTTTTAGGGTATTTAATTTATCTTTTTACACAACTGTTACTTTAGAAACACCGACGCAGCTCACACTAGTTTACCGCTAGTTCCTACAATTATGATACAATGGGATTTGCTCTGACATGGACATGATTCTTTCCTGTAAAAATATCGATACAGCCCAAAACAWTTTACTAACTATTCTTATAAACTTACTGAACTCCATTTTTGTGCTATCCACTTCGGACATTGTTGAACATTGCATTTGTTCGTTGTAATTGGTTTTGATTTGGAATCGCATGGTCCATTTTGACACTTTATAATTCTTGACTGCGTACCACCCCCACAGGTTACTGAGCACTGAAAATTGTCAAACGAAATAATGAATGAATGGGAATAAATAAATGAATGGATATACAAATAGGATCTTTTTTTAACAATGAGCTATCTATCGTTCTTTACTACTAATCACAAAGAGATCCAAAAAAAAGGAAAAAAGAACGTTGACTCTGGAGTAGGCTAGAGTTTTACCTCATTCCACGATCCAGCAGTCCATTGGGGACATTTCTGATTGTTGCATTCTTGCATTTCTTTTGGTTTGGATGAATTATTACAGCCACCGTCTTCTCTRGAACACATGACAGGACGATACGCCACTCCACCACCACAAGTCTTGGAACACTTAAATAACGAATCAATAAATACTAATAAATATCAACACTTAATCTATTTTGACACTCCAGTACCTCGATTTCAACAACAYCGCAGATAGGATGAAAAGAAACCGGAAGTCAAACTTACCTGATTCCAGTCCCCTGTTTTCCATCGCGGACACAGCACAAGTTCACAAACTGAAGTACTTTTTGGTTTATTGTTTGAAGAACAACGGTTACTAAACCCTCCGCCGATGTACCGACACGTAACTGACCTTCTCCTCAAACCACTTCCACAGGTGACAGAACACTAAAATGACACAAGATAATGGATGGATGGAAGGATGGAATTTTAATGAATTAATAGATCTTTAATGAGCGATTTGATGAATGGATTGGGAATGAGTAGATAAATAGATGAACCTTGAATCGATGGATCAATGGATCAATTCATCAATGAATGAATGAATGAATGAATGAATGAATGAATGAATGAATCAATCAATACTACATACCTGTCCCCATTCCCCCTTATCCCAACGTGAAATCCTAACTGTTGTAGTGTGCTCACGAGTTGGTTCATAAAATTTAGTTGGAGTTTGTCGACATGGTTGAATCTCGCATGGTCGATGGTCTACTGGTTTTGTCATTCCTTTACATAGCTTATCATCAGCTACCTCCCAGCTATCGTAGGCACACTTCACTATRCGCAGYTGAAGTCCTGTTCCACAAGACTTGGAGCACTACGAAAACAAACTCTTTATTTACTAAGAACAACACTAAAGAATCAATCGCTAATGTTATTTTCTAAATGAAAAAAGAATGAATTGTTTAGAGGTTRATAAGAAACATACCATTCCCCACAGACCGAACTTCCATGACGTACAAGACTTWAGSAGACATTCTTCCTCTGTCTTGGGTTTGATGTTTTTATCGCAGTTTGACATGTCAATCTCCTCTCCTAGTGAATCACTGCATATCACTCTTCGCCTTTTWAAACCTCTACCACAAGTCACTGAACACTAGAAGAGCACAAAAAACCCTTAAGGTGAGTTGCAGTTTGTTGTATAATTTGTTCTAGACAATTTGTCCAGGTAATTTAAAGGAAAAGATATATATTTGATATCCTGTCTCTAGGTTTTCAAGGGTTATTCAGCACAGGAMGAGTTTTAGACAGAGACAGTGTTATAATCATCGTTCTGMWGTATTACCTCACTCCAACCTCCTTCCAGCCATCTATTATTGTTTGGAGTAGCCTGTATGCTGACGGGRCAAGCTGGTTTTATACACTCTTGTCGACTTTCAGGTTTTTCAGACGTATCGCATTTGATATTAGAAATCAAGACTCTATTGGATGCTGAACGACAAAGAACCTGGCGTTCCTGAAATCCCTTTCCACAAGTAACTGAACACTGAAAAGAAATACCACGAACAAAGCAATTTACCTTTGTGCTTAGTATGAGCTAATCTATTGCTATTCAAAGTCGGCTTCTTCAATTTTTTAACATAAACTTAAAATACTCCATTTTTCAGCATCAAACTCATGTATCTTTTACTCATTCAAAATCACTTAACGTTTTCAATATGGAAATAAAAAAAATAAAATAAAACATACCTCAGACCACCGGGACATCACCCAGGAAGGACATCTTTCACGCGAGCAAGATCGCCTTTCTGTTGGACGTTGTTTTTTGTCACATGACGAGGCGTGGAATTGTTTACCGTGTACTGAACAAGTCACTTTTCTCCATTCAACTCCTCTACCACATGTCGCGGAGCACTGAAATATGACAAGTACTTCATATCAAAGAATGTGGCTGGAAATTCCAAAGCAATTTGGTATATGGTGGGATGGTGGCTATAGGAGGAAGGTTTGAAGGGTGTGGGATATGCACCTAATTGAAAAAACGTAGTCGTGTTCGAAAAGGTCACATCATAGAAGCTAAGACCGAAAGATATTTTGAGTACCACTAAATTGGGAATACATTTGCATATACGGTGTATACTAAGCAAGTAGAGCTAGTAAGATTAACAGCATGATAGTCTTTTATGCTGGAGAGCTGTTTGTTATGAAATTAGCCAAATTGTTTGTCTTCCCAAGTACCCTTTCGGTCTTAGCTTCCATGATTTGATCTTTTTGGACCCGACAACGTTTCTTCAATTAGGTGTACTTGATAAAGAGACAAGTACTTCATATCAAAGAATGTGGCTGGAAATTCCAGAGCAATTTGGTATATGGTGGGATGGCGGCTCTAAGGAAGGTTTGAGGGAGTAGGGATGTATTCAAAGAGACACGAAAACAAAGTTAAAATACTTAAAGAACGAAGTTGGTAAGACCGAGTAATTTTAAAACATTCAAATGAGAGAAGACAAGAATAATTTCATCTATCAACGTACCGAAGTCCACCGATCAGCAACCCATATGGGACATTCTTGTTCAAAGCAAGACTTCTGTAGTATTTGTCTGTCTGAAAGCTTGCAATCCTTGTCGGCTACGTAATCACCAGCGCTGTTGATACAGTTGACAAACCTTTGTTGTATCCCTGAACCACACGACTTAGAACACTGAAAAACGCAACGTGATACGTAAGTGAAACGTACGTACATCGCCAAGACATCACACGTAAAAGTCACTCACTTTCGACCAGTTTGTATACGTCCAGCTCGTCTTGCATGGTCCCTTGCAAGGYACTTGTTTAGGTGGTCTAGGGATGTGTTTACATGAATCGTCCGTTACGAATTCCAGTTTACGTCCATGGTCGATGACGCAGCGTGCGTGCTGTACTTGCGTACCTTTACCGCAGAGAGTGGAACATTGTCCGATCCTTGATTTAAACCATCTATTCAAACACAAAGTAGTTAGAAATTATGAACAACACGATGGAATGGCGTATTGTATGACAAGATGTAAAACATATTAACGTAATCTAATGTAAAAACGTAGCAAACGTAATATTATCTAACGTAAAATAATGTAACAAGAAGTATTGCGTACAACGTAATGCAAAGCTTCAGAATCATCCCACGTGAATCGTACTATGACCAGACGTGAGTCGCACACGGCCTTGCACGATGCGCAAGTGAGACAAAGGCTACTAGCGTAAATCGTATATGCTATGTAACGAAGCATCTGTTTACGCGCGCGAGCTTATGAAAAAGGAGTAAATAGCTTGATAAGTTACCTGAGACTACAGTGTGTGTTGCACTGTTCTACGATCTTGTTGGGCTTTCGATAACGTCTGCACTTCTTTCTGCCGACAACTTTGTTGTCATCACGGCGTATGCAAAGTATTTTACGTCTCCTTCTACCTAACAAACAAAMGATTCAATGAACAGTTGTTCTTAAAAACAAACTATCATCATCGTTATCAAGCAAGAAAAGCGTCTATTTATAAACAAACCTCGACAGACGCGGTTACACGGCGACCACTCGCCAAATTTGCTCCAGTAAAAACGCGCAGGACCAATGTAAGGAACGTTAAGAGAATAAGTTATTTTTGGTTTTACAGTCTCGTCATTTTCTGGACTTTCAATGGAGAGAACCTGAGCGATTTACAAAATAATACATTGGAGTAATATAACATTTTATTTATTCATTCCATTTTACCGATCATTCATTCCATTTCATTCACCGATCATATATTCCATTTTACCGATCATTCATTCCATTTCATTCACCGATCATTTATTCCATTTTACCCATCATTTCCATTTCAAGGTCCATTCATTGCATTTCACCGATCATTTATTCCATTTTACCGATCACTCATTCTATTTCAACGTCCATTCATTGCCTTTCACCAATCATTYATTCCATTTTACCGATCATTTATTCCATTTATACCGAACATTCATTCCATTGTACCGACAAATCATGCATTCTTTTTCACTGATCATGCATTCTATTTCACCGACCAATAAGATTGTCTTACCTTTAGCCTCAATAGTTGTTTTGTTTTACCATATATTCTAATCTCCTCGATTTCTTTATCACTTCCTGAGTACCATATTGTAACACCATGATGGTTTATCTCGCGAACCCCGCTTATCACTACTGCCAAGGAATTGAGAAGTCCTTTTTTGTTCCTTCCCACACTTTGAAGTACTATTGAGAACAAGAAGGTACAAGAGACGATTTACCCCTATTAACGTTAATCCAGGCTTAGGCGGTAGATTACTTAAGAGTCACGCCAAGGCTCACGTTAATCTGGATTCTAACAGCCCGACCGTTAATTGATGCGTCTTACATTTACGCTTCTTTTTCATTTGTTTTCTGAATATTTGTGTTGTGTTGCGTTACGTTTTGTTTTGTTTTGTTGTGTTGTGTTGCGATGTGTTGTGTTTTGTTTACCTAGATAATTGACATCATTTTTCTTCATGCCATATTGTTTGATCACAACATTCGTTGACCCAACTGGAATGTCGTACACAAAATTATAACCTGGAAAAAGAAAATATGTAAGAACTCATTATTAGCTCGTTTCTCTTGAACCGAATCGTGCAAATGAACGTGTCGTCTTACCATACTTGGGCTTCTTGTTAAAGTATCCAGTATGTTTTCTGCATGAGGAACCATCTCCGCCACAAACACCACAAACATCATTCCTAGTATTAGAACCCACCACGTTATTACAACCAGCTTTCTATGGAAACATAAATGTATTAATCGGCGAGATGGAACGGATGATCAGTGCAATGGAATGAATGATCGATGAAATAGCATGAATGATCAGGGGGAGGATATGGAATGGCGATAAATGCATCATACGTGAAATAGAATGAATAAAATGAATTGGAATGAATGAATTGGAATGATCTTCAGGATAGAATGATTGCATGGTCTAATCGAACGAATGATCCGTGAAGTAATGACAGCAAGAATCACTACTTACTCGACATTGGCCKTCTACACAAACATCATATGATTCCGTATTGCAACGCGTTCCATCGATGACTTTGGTAGCTAATTTGAACCACATGGAGTTGCCGTTCACTTGGCAATACAGTTTACACTGATCCGCCCTTTTCTCTGATAAAAAAACACAACCACATAAATACACACTTAATACATATATCATCACAATGGCAACAACGACAACATCAATAGCAACGACCACGACAATTACAGCAACAACAACTACAACAATAGCAACGACAGCAACAACAATAGCAACAACAACAATAGGAACGACAGCAACAACAACAACAATAGCAACAAAAACAACAATAGCAACAGCAACGACGAGAACAACAATAGCAACAACAACAACAACAATAGAAACGACAGCAACAACAATAGCAACAGCAACGACAACAACAATAGCAACAGCAACGACAACAACAACAATAGCAACAAAAACGAAAGCAACAACAATAGCAACAACAACAACGACAGTAACATARTTGTTAAAAGCAACAGAGGGATCAACACTACATACTTAGATATTTAGGAATAAAAGTGGCATTTTTGATGCCTAATCCACCGTACAGATTCTTGCCGTTGAGCCTTTGGCACTGAAGCGTCCTAAAGTCACGAGAATAGGGAGGGCACTCCTAGCGATGATAAAGACAACTGGTTATGTAACTATAATTGATAGTTTAATAATTACAGAATTATTATTTAAGGGGAGGGTGCACCATTTCCTCTCGTTCCAGAACCGATGTTGACTGGATTTGTACAACTACCGTGAACGTTTTCAAAAACATTTTTTCATTGACAAACATCAATATAGTTCAGCTATTGATACTTTTATTTGTCGCGTAATACAGTAATCTCCATCAATATTGCATGACCTTAGCAAAGTTCAATGCCTTGCAGGCCTGGAAAACTAAATAACAAAATTCCATGCCTTCTGAGGTTTTCCACGACCTGTAGGAGCCCTAAAATGCCATTAACCCTCAAGCTAMAGTACTTACATCGGTATTACAAGATCGAAACCTTTTCCTCGSACCCCAACAGTACGTTCCTCCATTTTCTGGTCTRGCATGAAGAACRACAACTTCATTAACGCATTCACTAGAGTATTTTTATAAATAAAACAGTTCTGGACGTGCTAACACTGAATTACTAACACCCTGTAAGACCCGAGTGATGACAAGGATATATCTTTATAGAAAATGTTATATAAAATGTCTTATTTCATTAGGACTATATCTTATTTTTATCCTCGGGTCATATCACAAATTACGTTAATCTTTTTAAGACAGCCTTCAGGCACAAAGCGGTATCGCCTAAAATTACTGTACAACGCCCTTTGTAGTTAATAATGCGACTGTACAATGCCCTTTGTAGTTAATAATGCGACTGTACAACGCCCTTTGTAGTTAATAATGCGACTGTACAACGCCCTTTGTAGTTAATAATGCGACTGTACAACGCCCTTTGTAGTTAATAATGCGACTTATGGTAAACTTACGCAGGATTATCACATTTTCTTGTAGCAAATGTTATCCCACCACCGCAAGTACGACTGCACGGKCCATAGGAACTCCAACTTCCCCAGTTACCTTGAACTACTCGAAGACGCCGTTTAGGAACGCATTTGTCTCTAATACACCACTGTAGAATAAAGAGAATGCAATTAGTCCATGAAACAAAACATTTTAGTCCTTTCCAGTTGTTTCAAAGTTACAGTGTTCTTGTATTTTTAGGGCTAACTGTTTTTACCTTGTTTTCTCCGCAAGGAGTACCGTCAGCCCATGGAAGGTGATGGGTTTTACAGCCTCTTTGACGTTTTGTTTTACTGACCTCTGTTTGGCACCACAGTCGTCGACAGACTTCCTGATTTCAAAGACATTTAGAAAGTTAGGAAAGTTATTGTGATATGAGAACTATATTGTAAGTATAGGGATAGGGATAGTCCTAACTGGTCGCATTAAATGGTAAACCAAGTGACCAATAAGACAGGGTTCTTTTATTAATAACGACTTTCATACCACATTAGAGCAAGGAACACTTTGTTTGTCGTAAAGCATTTGACATTGTTGATCAGCMGAGTACAATTCTCCAGGCAGCTTACGATCRTACAGGCCTTCACGACGAGGATCAGGACGATCCTTCAGACACTCAGCATATCCTAAACTAGAAAAACATTATTGTTAAATATCTTATCAACATTATAAAACATWTTAATGGAGGCTCGAATTAGTAAACATAGGAGGACATGTTTTAACGAGTCTCTAAACTTACTCAAAAGTCTCTGATATGGCCCTTCTGCTGCAGGGAGACCATTTCCAAGGCGAGGTATAGTAACTTAAAGTAGGTGCCATAATRTTTGACAGACCACGATCACTTGTACAATTGTTATTATCACCATCATGAGGGATATCGAAACTGAAAGAAACGGTTGAATAATTACCCTTTTAAATTATTATTATGAATATCATCATCACCATCATAATCATCATAATAGTGGGAACTAGCGGTAAACTAGTGTGGGCTGCGTTGGTGTTTCTAAAGAAACAGTTGTGTAAAAAGATGAATTAAACACCGTAAAAAAGTAGGAGAAGTAATCATCGTAATAAATAGTTACTTTTAATCATATATCTTACATGTGCGCCATTTCGTGAGCAATGGTGTAAGCAGTATTAAGACCAGTAGCTTCAACAATAGCACAACTTCGTCTTGGTTCACATATAGTCCCCATGTGTGCAAGACCTGATTAAAGCAATCATAACATTCACTTTATTTTGAAAATTTGTGTCAGTATACAGAGCTAAATCTTCTCAACATCAAGTGTATTTCCTTACCTAAGGTGTCACATCGTCCTTTTGCTCTGCAGAGGTCATGCCTTTGAGAAATAAAACAAATTACGAAATCATATATATACAAGTACACACGAATAAACCTGAGGAACAAGACCCCTGCAAACCCTTCAGCGTACCACTTCATTCCATACAAGCGGCATCCATTTTTTCACTCTACTTTGTTATTTTTGAGAAATGCATCGGAAACAGTGTAAATTATTTCCCACTGAGTAATGCATTGCAAGCAGTGTAAATTATTTCCCGGTAATGCATAATAAGCAGTGTAAATTCTTTCCCAGTTATGCATTGCAAGCAGTGTAAATGATTTCCCAGTAATGCATTGCAAGCAGTGTAAATTATTTCCCGGTAATGCATTATAAGCAGTGTAAATGATTTCCCAGTAATGCATTGCAAGCAGTGTAAATGATTTCCCAGTAATACATTGCAAGCAGTGTAACTGATTTCCCAGTAGTCCTTTGCAAGCCGTGCTACGTACTTTGTGATAAGGATGGCGGTATCGTAGTGTTCATTGTCACTATCACTGGCTTTGTTCATTTTCTTTTGCCATCGACAAAAACTCGATAAAGTATTGGCTGCATTTGACGTGATCTTCAGTTCTGGCTAAATACAACAGTAAGATTTGATTAGTACTTTTTTAAGGAATTTTACCGTATTTTCCAGGAAATCCCATAAAAACATGATGATATTGAACAGTGAGCAAAAAAAAAAAGCAAAGAAAATCAAACAAAGGAACGATAAAAGTGCGATTTTTGCACGACCACTAAGTACTTCTCCACATGTGATGTCACAAGCACGTGGAACCGTTTATGCCTGCACGCAATACTTGTGAATTCAAGTTTAAATGTTAACATATAAAAGTAATATTGTTCTTACCATATCGTTTTCCAGGATAAATATTTTGACCAAAACCACTTTGATGTAATTGCCTATGGATTCGTGTGAGTAGATTTTTGCAACCTTATAAGAAAACAGTATCTATGGGTTATAAAGTCCAAAATACCACTAATTCTGCGGTTTTTGTTAACTAGCACTGCAGTTTGACAATTGATAGGCATTTGTTAAGTTTTTTTTGCTTCCTTGCTCACTTGCACGCATTTTTTTGGGGTGTTTTGAAATGCTTAAATTAGGGAATTTCTTATGCTTGCTCGCCTACTCTTGCACTTGCTTCTCTTCTTTGAGTGTATTTCTATTTGTCAGTTAATATTGTTGCTGTCTAGTGCGTGCTCGCATGTGTGTAGTTTTGTAAAGTCTGTATCTCTTGTTCAATTGTTTAATGATTTGTTCCATTCATTTGTCTGTTCGTCTGTCTGCTGTCAGCAGTAGTTTTTTTTGTGGTTCTTTATAATCGGTAACAGGAACCAAAGGATCTTTGTCCACACTAAATATGRATTGATTTGTGGCACACGAATGACTGCAAACAAATTAGTGCTATCAAATCACAATCAACAATCATCGCCGTCCCATTATAATTCAAATCAACTATTTTATGTTCAACATTTGGAGGGGAAGTGTCCAACTGTGTAAAGAGCGCGATGAGAACATAGTCAACATTGGTTATAGTCCRTATCAGCATCAAGCTGAGAGACGCACAGTCTTATAGGAAATACTTCCATGTCAAGAATGTAGTGTTTACGCGGGTAAATGACATGTTGTACAACACCCGTTGATTTTTACACAAAAGATAATGGCTTCAACAGCGTTACCGATTCAAGGCGACAATAGTTTTTAGAAGCTTATTCAATTAGATTACTACTTGGACGTTTCGTRAGATGATAAAGAAATTCAAACACAGCTCATGATACTGACGATGATAGAAATGATGACGATRATAATGGATAATGAGATCTCAGGACAGCGAACTCACGAWGTTTACGTAAATCATGACGAAATTGATGATGTTGGCAATGACGTCATGATCAAACCGGATGACGTCACTGATGCAGATGACGTCAATAATAATGATGGCAATGCTGACATTAATGATGATGCTACTAATTATGTAAGATGGTTTAATACGATGATATCAATCATSGTACCGAAGATATTAATGATGTTAATATCAACTGATAATGATTTCATCATGACGTCATTACTGACAATGACGTCATAAATACAATGACGTCTAATACTACAGTGACGTCACAAAAGCCATGATGTCACAAATGCTAATGGTGCTACAACTGGCAATGACGTCACAAATGGTGACGTCTATATAACTGGCTATGACGTCAATGATGATAATGATAAAAGAACGATACTTACTAGTCCCATGACAGTTATGAGGAAGCTCTGAAGTTCAGCTTTATTAGGAAATGCCTCGACCATCGTACGGTCGACTGCTACCATCGTCTCTACAAACGCAGCGTCCAAATATCGTTTGCTTCTTCTCCTTTTGAACCCATTTACAACTCTATCATGCAGATGCTTATAATCTGTTATTGACATTGAGGTGTCTGTAAATGCAAAATCATTCAATAAGAGATGCATGTGCAAATGTGGGTGGGAAGTTCAAACAATAACCTCGTCATGAGACATCTAACGCTACAAACAAACTCAACTAGTTACAGGTGATTACAATCATCGTGCTAAAATATCAATCGACCTGATTGTTGGACACCTCAATCGACAGTTTTATACGTCCTTTATCAACCATGCACTACTCTATGAACAAATGACCTCTGCTTAGCACAATTCCATGGACACCTCTACATCAAGGACATTACCTCAACTGTTTAGTGTCTGAAAAAGAAGTTCTGTGGTCTACCAGCTTGAAAGATTTCTCTGACATAATTATTTATGTGCGACATAAGTTAAATACGATATTTGTCAAACCGTGTTAAAAAGCCTTTGCTAAGACACMTGGAAGTGTTCAAGAGTTCAAGAGCTTGTGTTTATTTGTGAGCTGACAGGGTGAATATCGTGATTTATAGCCTTGACCATGGACCTTTGCTGTATTTCATACATCGAGGCTAGAGTTACAAGTGGCATATAAATGGTGCGCAATTCCTGTGAACTCACGATCTTCCAAATCGTACAATTTCCCCATCACAGATTTGAGCCTATTGCCGCTTATGTGTACATTTTTTACATCAGTTAAATCATATTTTATACCACCCTGACCTACGTAGCCGTCTTTACGTTAAACACATTTTACGTAGTCGTTGTAATGCGTATTACGTACGTTTAATTTCAAGATGCCGTTGTTCAAAAGGTAGACGCCTAGGTTTAGTGTGTGTTGACTTAATTGTTGAGAATCAACCTTGTACAGAATGATAGCGTTTATCACGGTGTCAAGGTAAAGTTTAGTTTTATCGTGCTAGTTTATCAGATAACGAGGAAATGTAGCGATTTACGTGCTCCGTAAAACAAGRCAGATCCGTCCTACGTGCGTGCTTGTCAACTAGTAAAGAATTCCTTGAAGTAGAAACGCTMAAAATGTGACACAGACTTGTCAGCCATGGTGCTTGCATGACTGCAACCAGTTCAAATGTTAAGTGATGTAGAAATCAAGTTCTTGAAAGCTATTAATTATTCTTTTAAACAGATTTTGGAGTATCAATGATTGCGTAACAGAATACAAGTTACGTGTAAAATACGCGTTKCAACTCTCGCATCATCTTTTCTATTCAATATTTAGTGTAATCGAATAAAAAGGATGTGCTTTCGTACCGTTTTCTCATTGTTTTAAAGTTTCGTAAGTGACATTTTATCAAAGGCCGCGTCCTCCCTAATGTGCTCTTGTGGCGTTCTTAATTTGTTCTTAAAAGTTATCAACAAAATGTAATAATAGGCAAAAGTCGTTTATAACCAGACTAAAGCCTTGAATACGTAAGGCTCTAATCACCATGACAACAAAACTTCAAACAATTTCCATAAGATGGATCGTAAAGGTATCGGGATACTTAACCTAGTGAGCAGCTTTGCACCTTAGAAAATTTCATTTTAAAAGTTTTCTTGAAAGTAATAGTTGTTTTTTCTAGGAAATTTCAAGAACATTTTGTCTTTTACTTTTTATTCGCAATCATCGATCTTCAATCAACCATTGTGGTGATGACACWAACGGAAATGACGTCAATGGGGAATACCGCGAACAGACAGAAAAAGATTTACATTGAAACTAAAAGAACCGATTGAAACGATGACTGAAACACGATAAAAATAACTAAATAGAGATGCTGTTGTAATTGGATTGTCTCGTGGTTTTGCCGCCGCACACCGATTGAGCGTTTGAAATCGATCGGATGAGTTCTAAAACTACTATTGATGGCACAAGAAGTCATTCGTTGTTCTCGGATTAAAATGGTTGACATGAATGGATGGGTGGATGAAGGCGTAAGAATTGAATGTAAAGATCGATAATAAACTGAATTGAAATAAGAAATATGGATGGGATTAATGGATAAAGTTTCACGAATACGTAAAAACCGACTGAGCAAAAAGAAGTGACAAATGGATAGATGAACGAACAAAAGTTGCGCAAAAGAATAGAAAAATGTACAGAAAAGTTACCCTGCGAACAGAGTGTTATTGTCCTTACCTCAGTAAGAAATTCGCGAACTTTTTAACTGAGKTAAGGAAAATAACACTCTGTTCGCAGGGTACAGAAACGTTCGTCTGGATGGATGAATGAAATCTAGCAGAAATGAGTGATTAAAGAAATGGATGAAAAGATGACTAAACGCTCCGAAGATGAATGGATAATCAAATGAGCACAAGAAAGCATAAATAAAATAAGAAAACAGAAAAAAAAAGTGAAAAAAGAAAGATCGCAAGGACGAACAATCAGATGGCTTTTAACGGAAACAAAAGATTAAAAGGAGATTAKCGAATTCCTTTGAAAACTAAACGAACTAATAAAGGCGATCATTGACTGATAACAACGTAAAGACAAATGACAACTGACACCGCAAAGTACGCTCCACTATAAGGACTGTTTTCTTTTCTYTAATTCCTTGTTTTACGGATGAACAGTCATCGCTGTACTCACGACGTTCTACGGCAGACTAAGCTCTCAATGTTATCAAACCAAACACGGACTGACGTGCGCTATTATGAAGGGGTCATCMAACTATCACGACATGACAAGGAAAGCTTGTATGTTTGTGGACAATTTCTTGCATTCAAACCCCTGGTGCTTATGGAAATTACACGATACTCGACTCGMTTGTAGACAAGAGTATGTGAGATGCCCGAGAGTACGTGGCAAATGGTCAAAAGGTTCAGGAATAGGACCTGCTGTGTGTTATGTTGATATCGTGTTCTTTGTATCAATCACAGCACATCTTAGTAAAGTCGAAATTCAGACTACTATCAAGAACAAGTCACGTGGTGTCTTGATAATAAATTTTGAATTGGAAAAAAAATATACGAGCTAGGCAATAAAGAGTTATCCTAACAACAAGCAAATAAATTAAACACAATAAGAACGAGAACAACAAGAACGGCAACAGCAACAAAAACAAACAAACAACAACAACAGTGACTTTTTGTGGTGAGCAACACCTAAAACGCCAACGCCTTCAGCTTAACGTCATAACAAGATTAATRCTAAAATCCCGATATTTATTTTTGAACAAAAAAAAATCGTTTTGATGTTCGTGGATGGCAAAACCCAGAAGATGTAAATCAATCCATAACCTACTATCGTTCAGGAAACATCAAACGTCTTGTTGTGAAATCTTATCCTTAGTTGATCTTACCTTYGAGACCGCAGAATGTTTGAGAATCGCGGCTTTTCTCTTTAACTGTATTCAATCGTCGGTATATAATGTGAATATTACTGGAATTTCCTTTTTGTCCTTGTCTCTTCTCGATAAAGAACTCGTGTCCATCYGTAATGAACGATCCTTGCTGGAAACAAAAAAATTGACAAATATTTGAGATTGTCCTACAAAGTATTATTGGATTAGCCTTGCAATAATTGATTGGAGTTAGCAGGTTCCTCTTTCTTGATTACACTATTGATTTACGATTTTGTTTTAATGTGTTCAACAACACGTGCTTTGGTTTATGAAACTTTTAAGGGACTTTATATATGAGGGAGGGAGGGTATGGAGTCTTGTTTGCAATATTATTTCCGGTGAATAAATCGTTCTTCATATACATTGATGATTTGATGTTTTTTAGATGGTTTGCCACTACTAGATACTGATAAGAGCAAATCCAATTGTGGCTTCGATCAAACTTAATACACCTATTAGACATCTTGGATATTTTACTAATGAGTACTACAATCTTAAAGGGTGGTCGTCGGTTCCGTGACACTTTGCCGGTTGCAAAGCTCTTACTACGAATAAAAACTGTACACTAAGCGCAACGTACGCCTACTTGCTCTCGATATTTTCATTTCTTTTAAGTAAATAAATACTTCAAAACAAATGCAAAAATGTAGCGTTTACGATTGAGTCTRGAGTATGGTAAATGTTTACTTTATGTAGGTTACTACTTACGATTCCGTTGCAAAGGTTGAACACTGCACTTGAAGCACTGTCTTGCAGACGGCCACGATATAGACAATATCCAAGGTCTCCAGGCAGTTGTAGTGTTTTTAATTCACTAAATACATATTCCACTTTGAGACCCGGCGAYACAAAGCTGTGGTCTTGGGTCAACACAAGCCTAAATGTTCTTCCAAAGCCTCTCACATTATAGTACAAAGAGCCTCTGTTTACAYCTCTATTATCGAAGGATAAAAATTGTTTGTTCTCCGGATAGACAGCTTYACCAGCCTGGTTTACTCGTACGGGGACTGTATCTTCATACTCAGCATCGCCCCATTCAAACTTTTGAACTACAAAATACAAACAGAAAATTATCTTGGAAATCCCCCTGAGAACAACCCAATAAATTCGCTTAAAAATTCACTTACCTTTTTCTCGACTCGATAATACTTTRTGTTGGTTAAAAATAAGAATAATGACAAGACTAYAAAACATCTTCATGGTTTGGTTGTTGTACACATCAGGTTTTTATCGCTGGACTGACGGGCAGTGATGTGTAACGACACTGGGTCAGGAACGCCTACTTTTCCTTGTGTTACTGTCAATCAAGGCTGACACTACCGTATCTGAAATAAGAACCMRTGATTAACGGTCAGAAATTATCGCGATTGCCACAAGGAAACGCCGCTCGCGGGAATTCTCCTTTTAAGATATACCAGGTTTAAAGGTTTTGACATGGAAAATACTTGGTCAAATCATGAATCATATCGCGTGAAATGTAATTGGCTTATAATCCCGCGTTTAATGTGCATGCTACGCGGGACGGTTCGGGATGTTAATAAGACACGATAACAGTCGATAGAAGCTCGTTGATTKCAGGTATCAGTGATGTTAGATAGCGGTCATGTTAGATATGATATAGCATAGCGGTATAGTAAGCGATACAGCGGACTCTCTCCATCTGCAAAAACAACCAGTTTAATCTGGAGSATGATATGACATTGCGATATCCATGACTGACATTATCAAGGACCTGGGATCAATCTTCCACCATAAGCAAGCGACAAACCACAAACAAACCGTTGCCTTTTWCGCTTCCTTTATAGTCAAACGTTTATTTTAAGAAATATTTCTCTATACGCTGCCATACTTTATTCGAAAGAAGAATTCGAATTTCATGTGGTTCCTTTTGATCATGTCTTCTAGAATTGATGATTAAGTCTTCCATTCAAGGATCATTGATCAGGTCTTCTATAGCATCATTGGGAAAGCAGCCTGAATGATTTTACTAAATAAATAAAASCTCAATATTTCAAGTCTTGTATTACGAGAGTCTGGATCTGTCAACACGTTCTGACATTTCCACAGAGGTCAAACACGGCTCTTTAACGTCTATGTTCTATGTGACAGAATGCGAAAAAAATGATTCTGTAAGGAAATTCCAATTTCAGAACCACATTCCTAAAAGGTAACTAAAAAGACATTTTCTTGAAGAAAACTAATTACCCCATCATAACCAAACGCCCTAAAATTCCATTATAAAGTACATACTATATACTTTGATATCAGGATCGAATCGCGCGAGTTTTTTGAAAACCCACAGCGCGCACAGGTGATTAACATMCGATGACGTCACACTCGACTCAGTCCTACTAATCACATCACTATGCACGGCCACCTCAGGATAATAATATACTCATGTATTTTAGATTTTTTTAAAAGTCTTTGAGGTTCTATTACAGGGTATAATAGCCTATAAAATAAACTATTTAGAGAAAGGAAAACGTTCAGGATATTGTCTGGAGTTCTGCACGCACCTGTGAAGACATTCCAACGAGTACCAAATCAAAATGTTGCTCGATGAAAGATAAATGAYAAGGAAGTACGCATATTCATAAAAGTACTTGATCTTGGCTGACAGTGCGGATTCCTTCCCGTGCTCGCTCTAGACTCGTGAACTGTGGTGCGACGGGTGCGTGGGCACAATTGACGGAGTTAACTTAGACTGACTTTRCAGTCKTTAAAATACGTGGGCAGAAGTATTAGCACTAACATAACAACCTTTGATTATTATACAAGCACATATAAAGTATTTAAGAGCAATAGCTATAAAAATGACAAGAACTGAATCCTGATGTGAATATATGCACTTGTCGTGAAGTTAACTGAAGATATCAAAGTCGARTCAGTGTCTTACCTTTCGATCATAGCATTTTTCTAGAGCTTTGCCTTTCGAATTGTAGTCTAACTATTAAAAAAATACTGCAATAGATGTTTTTATATGTTGTTGTTTTTGTTAAATAACGAATTGCTTCACGTCTGGCTTGATTGTAATCCTGTCTCCAGCCTACGGGAACCACAATGACTATGACTAATTATCAAAAACAAAAATTTGTTTTTATTTTCTACCGGGACCAGAAGCACGCAAGACCCCAAAAATTTAGTACCAACTTTCTATTTTTTAGGTGAACCTTACTGTACGATTGCAGTAAYGTGAATTAGACCTACAAGTATCCGTGATTTAACATCAGTTTTGGGATTTACCCTGATTTCATTAAAGAGAATTATATTGAAGTTTTACCATCTAACAATGGATATCCCGCTAAGGACGCTTGTTCACAAAGTTCAACAGAACACGAAAACCCGGTGCAAACAACCTTCAAACGCTGCCGCTGCTTCACTACTGCGCATGACTCAATAGTTTCTCGAAAGAAAACGAAAAAAACCCCATCAAACTTGCTTCCTTGATTTCATATGAAAAATACTGCAAAATAACACCATGCTTGGCCTAGAACAATCTGCAAAAGCTAACTCAGCAAAAATTAACCTATTGCGCATATTTTCTTCAGCCTTAATCAGAATTTGAAATACCTGGCAAAAATTTTACGTTTCTAGAAATAAGCAGAAGTAAATTTTAACAAAACATGTTTTGTTTTAAKGCTTCATAAACAGCCCGCTAGATAAAGTCATCATGAAGGCACACCGCTGACCGCACGTCTAGGAAGCCCTCCGAATATTGGAAAAAAACGTTCAGTTTTCAGCAGCATCTCTTGATTTGACAACATTGATTTTATTTCACCAAGGTATATATAGAACTGCGCTCTTGAAAAATTGATTAAAAAACGTTCCCGATTCATTATATATAAAAGTTTTCTGCATGTTGTGACAACAAGAATATTCCTAACAGAGACATATTGAAATCGTCTTTACATAACACATAAATGAAATATTGCTCTCTTATTCATAAAAAAGAAATGAAAATAACCACTGAAAATATATTAAAAGCCTTTTCAATGCGTTAAGCTAGCGATTTAGAACGGTCTAAATTTACAAAGATAAAAAATGTAGTTCAGTACAATTTATGTSAAAAACTTCAAATCAAATTGCTAAAATATGGTGTATAAGATCAAAAATAGTTCCTTTTTCCATTTAAAACAAGAAGGTATTAATTCAATTAGACACCTAGGTAGAGTAGCCGCCGACTGAGAGCCGATGGGTGCAATAAAATATTTTTATGAAGTATGCACTTTGAAGTTTGAGCGGTTCATTTTATTCATATATTTATTTTTTAATCGTTTGTAAATAATAAGTTAGAGCGGCTTATCACTGTAAACTTGATCGCAAGTCAGTCATTAATAATTGATATTTTCTCAATCTTATCAGTCTATTATTTCAACCTCAAATACTAGCTTTTAAAAGGTTTTATAAAAAAACGCATTCAAGAACTGCCTTATCAAACGGTCCTTGTCGATTAATGTTATCTTTCGTTTTGTTCGTTGGAATTCTTAAATTGTTCACTTGTGACTAGACTAGTCCACTAGATGTTTCTCGATAGCCACCGCGGAATTCTCATCATTTTCGGTATAGTTTGTTCGCCATAGTTCACGCTAACGACGAGAACAGCAACAACAAGCGTGAAATGCAACTGCTGGCATTTTCTCAGCCACCTCGGGTACTTACGACAGCTTACTTTTAACAATCAAACCTAGTAATATTTATGTATTAGACGACTTGCCACCCGCAATGTACACATGGGCGTTGTCAGCACGTTGTTAGAAACTTCCAGTCACGTTGCATTCTCGTTCTWAATTTAACAAACACWGAACGGCTCAACGTTCKTAAYACATACAAGGGTGTGGTCACCACGTGTTCGGTTACTTCCCRTCACGTGACATATTATATTCTACATTATTTTCTACCAAGCGATTTGAAGTCAGATCCAAAGATACGTTAAGTGAATCATTAACACTTATAACTAGACGACTCACCAMCCGCACTACTTAGCAGGGCGTGGCTAACATGTGGTTGGATAGTTCTTGTTACGTGACAAAATCTTTTCTATGGTTAGTCGTCGCGATGAACGCTGACWTCATTAGTGRGGAATGATCCCATGTAATTGGTYGAGAAAAAGGTTTGYATTGTAAGTGTACATGTAATACAACACACACACAGTGAGTTGAGGTGAGAGATTATGACCACAAAAATAAGACAAAAGAAAGAGATATTGTTAAAAACCTCTCAGATAACAGCTTTTATGAAACGCTTTTTCCATATGAGCGAGCACCGATGAATGGATTTTCAAAATACAYTATAATTYAAAGCTTTTTTTATAACTGTTTGAATGGAGCTCTGCTCTAAAGAGTATAAAGATCAACTTTGACTACAAACATCTAGATATATTTTATATTAATTCTTGGCTAACAGTTTTTCGTTTTGTTCAAAGCAGTAAAATACAACGCAAAAATAGTTGAAATAACTTATAATTCAACATCACAACTATAATTTAAGTTTCTTAAATGTTAAATTGCAGCAATAAGGATCAAAAGAAGAAAAATTCTTATAAACAGCCAAGAAGACTATTGTGAGATAAATACCTTGTTTACATCGTGRAATCAGACAACCAATATTATACATACTATTGATGTTAGACTGAGATAAAACCTCACCCGATATTCTTGTATAACAAATGTGATTAGATCGAGGAATTCACAAATAAAACCAAAAAAACATGAACTTGTTTTTATAGAGAACGATGTCAAGGCAGGGCTAGTCGACTTTCAACGTTCAATATGGAATAGGAATATAAAATAWATTAAAAAGATAACACCAACATTTATCATTTTCTCATAGATAACCACAGGAGTTATCACAAGATTTTTCCGATTAAAAACAGACCTCTTTCACCTTATTTAGTTGATAAAAACGCTATTTTTACCAGATCTTGGCCACTGACAGGATTGAATAGTGTTGATATGTTCAAAGAACTAAACTTAAAATCAAAGGTAATTCCGTTGCGAGTGATGATAATTACTAGAAACCTAAATACAGACAGAAATTTCTTACCTTAAATCGTAGAGATGAAACCTGGCTAATCGGTGAARTTGTAATAATGAAAAAWTAWACGATAAGTGTGCTGTCGAAATGTATCCGTTTGTATAATAATTCGTGTTCCACTTGAAGTTAAGACAAATCCAGCATTCCAATCTTCATTTGCTTAATTACTCCGGTAAACTAACTTGTTTGGTTTTCAATAAGTAGGCGACCAATAAGTTCGCAAACTCTGTCCGTGAATACTATACAAGATGTAGATYTAGTTTAAATGTAGTTTAAAGATTTGAGGGGAGTGTTTATATACGTGTGGTTAGGAAATAAAGTAAAGTACTACCGTCTCTCCCACGGCTTGCCCCGCCCTACTTTCAGCTACGTTAACACCCTACATACCAYGGTTATCAAAACCCGAACTGAACCATTGTTCATAATAAAGAACTAAGTCAACAACTCTACAAAACATATTATAATCCGCGGTTGTGAATGACATATAAATCATTTTTGAGTAATTCAATCACTAGAACTCATTACAAGTTAAAAGGGCAGTATGTTAATGTGGGTCGGATATGAGTTTTGTTTCGTTTGGTGGATACATGCCATGTAGATTTACACCGCAAGCAGCATGTCTCCACTTGACATCAACTYATTGTTTATCAAATCRATGGATTCCTGGCAGAGARAAGTGGAATTCATCTGACTCGKGTTAAAGTGAGTCATCTTGTCTTTGAGTGTTATCTCCCGGGACTGAACAACCTCTATTGTTTGTATTTGAACCAGTCAAAGTAATTCCACGTATTTTGTTTTTGTTGAAGAATGCGTACTTTCGGTCTTCGTACAAAAGTTATTCAATTTCGTGTTATTATAACCACAGCAAATATTCGAGCGGTATGCATCTATCATAGCACTTAACAACAAACTCACCGCTCTTGTAAAGTTCTCAAAAACTCTCATCACCAAGCTGTTTCATCACTGTGGACCATCCAGCTCTACGCAGCGCAATACCGCTGAAAATAAAGATTACAGTTTAATTTCAGTTTTAGCCTCGATTTARTGCAAGTAATAACAAAAAACTATTTTAATTAGCATCGAAGGGTTATTGTTGTTCGAATTGAATGGATTTCCGTTTCATTGTAGTGGTTTGTGAGTGCAAAGCAACCCAATAAAGTTTTTAATTAATGCCTTACATTGAATCAAATTCATTTGCATATATTTTGKCATCAAAGAAGCCATTTCAATGCTCAAGAATAAAGGAGAGAAAGCCATTTATATGTCGATCGTTTCCTAGGAAGCCATTTCAATGTCTCTGATTTTACGGGAAAACATATCAGGCATMRACSACAATAAAATGATGAGAATTCTACTTATACTAACTGCCTATCTTAACTCATTATGTGCAAAGAAAAAATAAATGTGAGTGTACATGAATCAGTGAAGAAAAGCATTTCACTTTTAAGAAAACTTTTCTAGTAATCCATGCAAGCTAGTAACAAATGGAATGTTTTTATAAAAAGCTTAAGTGTCATTTTTCTTTCTGGTTGTGCTATATATAGTTACATAGTATATATTAATACCGAAAGCTCAGCATTTAGACAGAACATGTTAATTAATTGCTTCCACAAATTATTGAAAAATGTCAAAAACTGCTCATCGCATTGCAATGGCTTTGTTCAAGATGACGTTTTAAAAAGGATTTCGATTTCCTTCCTAATCCTGTTTCTATGTCTTTTCTAGACCACCGTAGACTATTCTTTCAATGCGAAGGTCTGTAGTCGATATCTTYAGATAAGATATACTTGTGGCTTTCAAAGGGTTAAAAAAGTCGAACGCTTCCACACGTCTGAATGCCAGCCTTTCCCGTGGGGGGTGGAGTGYGATAATGCGTGGTGATAAGTTTGAAGATGAGGTCAGGCTATGAATTTAAAAATCTCTTTGATACATCGCCCGTAAATGCCGGTGGAAAAAAAAAACAGTAATCCTGATATGCTTCAATTTCGTCTTTATTCTTGAAAGAAAATTCTCGACTTTGAAAAGGACGTGTTCAAATCTAGTATATACCACCCCCTGGGGATCGAAAGTCGCGTCACTTATGACGAYACAACGGCAAATGACGTAGCTGTTATGTCCGCTTCAGACAACACAAAACCATATGATGATGATGATGTCATTTATCACTTTGCAAAAAAAAAAAGACAAACTTTGAGGTGTTCAAACTTTCTTGAAACAGGACTTCGGTTCTATTATGCTAATGAGTATTATGTAGTAGCGCGCGCTCTTAAATCGCTCGTTTTTAATCCAAAGGTAACCGGATTGAATCACATTAACTTGATTTCCGCATTTTRTTTTTTAAGTCGAAATTTTAGAGTTTTATTTTCATTCTTTTCCTATAAGCAAAAACACCAAMATTTTATTCCTTTTTCTGAAAAACAATTTTCCAAAAGCAACTACAAAAATATTTCAAAGGTTACTACAAGCGCGCGCTAGTCTCGTTATGYGAATTTCGTGAGCTGCAAACTCAAGTTGCAAACGAAAAGCTAGTGGTCTTTCATTAAGGAACCAATTTTAAGCTCTATGTTTAAAATGAGTTGGTCAAAAGACGAATGGAAGCAGGATTTACCACCTAAAGCCATACAAAACATCACAAATTTGGAAAATGAGCTGGAAAAACTTCAAAAACACACTCAACAACAAGATATTAAAATCGATGGTTACATGGCGTCYTTGGAAAAAGAAAAGAACAACTTACAAGAAACCAAAGCGATGAATGCTGCMCTRCAGAATGAAGTACAAGAACTTATAGTRAAGAATTCAAATCTTGAAAMGAAGCAAGAMAAGCTTRCTGTAGAYGTTCGTAACAAAGAAATCTCCCTMAACCACACCGAGGAAATCCTAGAGAAGGTTMGCCAGAAGCTWAAGTYAGARACARTTAAATCKGYTGAGCTTCAGAGATCTCTTGATATGAAAAAAACAGAAGCTGAAAACTACGCTGAGCAAAATGAGAGGCTCGCCAATGAAGTGACGAGATTGAAACAGGACAAGGCAATGTTGGTGAAAGAAAAACAAGGTATTTATATTCTTTCTAGTTATTCTGCTCAAACAATTTTTATGAACTTAATTCAAAGATATTTGATGCTGTTGTTAGATATAACTGTAAGAATTGCAAAAAACAACAACAACAACAACAACAACAACAACAACAACAACCAACAAAGCTCTTTAGTTGGCGGCTGAATTTTGTGCGCGCTCGCACAGAGCGCACTAAATGCTAGCGCGCGCATCCCTACTTTGGTAAAGCAAAAGAATGGCATAGCGTACATCAAATATTTGATTCGTATCTCATTTATCCAGGTTTAAAAGAAGAGCTGATTGCTTTACAAAATAACAGAAGCASTACTAAAAACGACAACAAGCAAACCACAGCAGAAGCAAACGCTTTGACATCGAAATCAAGTAGTGGAGATGTAATCGTYGAGATGCTTAAGAAAGAGAACTCYTCATTAGTGAAAGATCTTAAAGATATCAAACAACAGCGAGATCAACTTAGACATCTTGTAGAAGAGAAAGAAAAAGAAGTTGAACGAGGACGYTCRAAAATCACTAACTTATCGGTCGACTTACAAGCTGCTGAGATATCTCTTAAAGAGAGTGAACAAAAGAACCATCGMTTGGAGCTTATTGTCGAGACAAAACAGTTAGACATTATGAAGCTACAAAGAGACCTGGACAAGTACAAGGAGAACGAACAAGGAAGAATGAAGAAAATTTCTGTCCAAGTACAAACTCAGGAAGGTGTGTAGTATTTCATATTTTCCCGGGGGGGGGACGTGCCGCCAACCAGGGTATCGTTTTCAGCGATTTTACTCTGGAACAGGGTATCGTTTTTAGCGATTTTACTCTGGAACAGGGTATAGTTTTCAGCGATTTCACTCTGGAACAGGATCAGGGTATTGATGTCCCAGCGGCACACCCCTACCCAAGTTTGGGGGGAGTACCCCCCCGGGATATTTTCATATATTAAATGGCTGTTGATGATGATGATAATGACCTTTACTATTTTAAAGAACAATACAACGAGGAAAACAACGAGGAAAAAAATGCAGAGAAAGAAATATTGAGTCCTGAACCAAGACAACCAACAGAACAACATTGTTGTGAAAAAGATTTAGATGAACAAGAGGGCAAGRAAGACAAAAAAGTCTTAGAAGAAGACGGCGTCACCAGTGAATACAAAGAGGGCATAGAACCTGACAGAGAAGAAATCGTCACTGACAAAAGACTGAGAAGCTCTTGCTCTGATACAGGTCAAGCTACACAACCAGAAATGACTGAGAGAGGTTTAGACTTTCAGGAACGCGAAGTGATCAACGATGAAGAAAACAACAGCAATATGGCGAGTAATACTGAAGACCTTGACGTGAATTTACCTGACAAAAAAACTGATGACGTCGATAAGAAAATTCAAAAAGCTCTTGATAAGACAGGAGATAATGAGATGGACAAAAATATGGAACAAAGATTACAGAACACAGAGGTGGATGAGCATTGCCAATCACAGTCCACAGACGGTGTAAGAGACGAGAAGGAATCGACGTTGGAGGAGTTGATGTCTTTGCTTATCGAAAGTTTAAGGACGGCAAACGAGATGAGGCCCATGGAACCATGCGTTGTACAGAACCTCAATCAAGTCATAGTAGTTAGTAAGGACAGTGATGTCAGACATGGACGAAATGTACAATCAACACAAACTATGGCTATTACACAGGCAAGTGAACAACATGAACATTGTCTTTTGCTGTGCTTTTGATTCGTTTGCCTTCGCTTTGTAATCAATCAATCAATCAATCAATCAGAATGTCAATCAATCAATCAGTCAGAATGTTGATCAATCCATGAATCAATCAATCAACAAAACCCATCAATTAACCAATCAATCAATCAACCAAATCAACCATTAATTAATCAATCAATCAACCAATCAAACAGATAGCCAATCAAACAGCAAAATCAGTCAACCAAACAATTAATAAATCGATCAACCCATCAATCAAACGATTAGGTAATCAATCTACCATTCAACAAATTACCCAATTGATCAATATACAAATGATTCTCGCTTTTTACTACAATCATCCAATATCTTTAACTATTTAACTTTGAWRTAACTTTTCYATAGTTCGACGAAGAATGTCAAACMATCACCTCAACTACTCCWAACGAAAAGAAAKGGRAAGTTAAGAAYTCTGAAGATATTGGCAAAGATTCTGCAGCTAATGGAAAGACAAATAGCAACTCGGAAGACATGTTATCAAGGTTTTGTGAAATACTCTTCAAGCTCCAAGACCTGCACGACAAAATTGCAAAGAGTACTACCGAGTGTGAGGACATTATAATAACCGTAAAGGCAGGCATAATGAAACCTGAGCTTAGTRTTTCTGCTTTGMTAAGCCGACTTTTCAGCCAAATTGGTTTTATTGGAAGTGCCATCGAGCGCTGCAGCAATTACAGCGAGTCTCTGGCTCAGGAAATTACACAACTTATAAAGATGGRTGATTCTTTGACAACAGCAACTTCTTCGCGTACTGAGGAGGATTACTGCAACTACGATGACTGTCAGCCCCATGGCAGCGATGCTGCACCTTCCAAGAACGAACMTCCTTCGGTAAACGTACCATCTCCTGAAGACAGTGATGATGGATCTCAAGACCACTCTGAATCTCAGGACAGCAGCGAAGAAAAATCTTCCAAGAAGGACCTATCATGGGATAACTTTGAATCTGATCAAGCATTTTTACAGTTCAAAAGCAGTATGGATAAGGTGTTAAAAGAGCTTGGAGGAATCGGGAATGCTKCCCTGAATAAGAAGAAAGCACAGAAACGTAAGCCATCCAACATCAACGGAGGTCAAGTGCAAGGTGATGAAATACAAGGCTATCATGAAGGGATAGAAAACAAGTGTTGTGAAACCGACCGTGTAATTGAGACCCTTTCGCAGGTCGTCGATGAAAGCAATGCTCGCTGGTTGAGGAAGACGCAAGAACTCTTCCATCATCTTAAGACACGACTACTAGACTCTGTTGACAGGCAGATTAAACATGCAATGATTGCASAGCATACAGGCAACCCAACCACTCCTGTACAGGACGCAGGCAACCCAACCACTCCTGTACASGACGAGGAAGCTCATGATGACGATGCGTGTCGACAACTTGAAGTTATAAAGTCAAAACTCAGTGAAGTTCAAAACCTTGTAAAACTTCTTTCCGTCAAGGCAGACGTAGCTGAAAATGAGAAAGAAAAAGCTTTCTCTCGCATCGATGTGTTGTCCAACCACATGATAAATCTGGAATCAAACCATGAGCTACGATGTAAAGAGCTCGAGGAGGATCTCAAGACAGCCTCTGATGTGGAGATTWCACTTCAACGWAAATGCAGTAGTTTGCAACAGGAAAAAGATGACATTGACAAAGAAATGAAAGCTAATACTCGACAATTACACCAGAAAGAGCTCGAACTACTTAARCTGATGAAGAAAATCAGAAAAATRCAAGCTGARTACGAGAAAACGGAGACATCCTTGAGAAACGACAATGAAGAGTTGCGCAAAAAGAACTGCTCAATATGGAGAGACTAYGAAAAAGTGTCRWCTGATCTTGAAGACAAGAASAGAGAGCTGAAGTCTTTGATGGACTCTATGAAAACCACTGAGMACTCTTTGCTGTCATTGTTCAACACAATTGGAAATATTGATGACTTCTTGCAAAGAGCCCGAGAAATGAATCTCTTCCACGAATAGTGACTGCTAAAGATGACCTTYTTGTCAAMCGTGGRCTTAGTTTTYGCCTCCATTTAAGGGAAAACTKAATTATCTTTTAAAAAARTTACCTCAGTTCATTTATTCAATCTTAGCAATTGAAAACTTGTCAAAAATTCTTGCTATTTTAAAATCCTTGCGATAATTTAATTAACTAATTTAATCTCAAGTTTTTGATATTAAAATGTTTATCGTGAAACCTTCTGACGACTTTCGAGTGTTTATGATAGTCGTGTCAAAGGGATAATAAGCAGAAATAAAGGAATATTTTACCTAAAAGAAGCTGAGATAAGGCGTGCGTCAATATATCTAACTATGCAAACCACAGGAAGCCCATCACATAATGTTGCGCACTAAACCAAGAAAGTGATGGGATATTGCACAAATAACGATTCTCCTTTGYAAGAATTATGGGTTCGTTTAGCAGTCAAAAGAGTCGAACATTGTAGAAAATATTGTCAGCAATCCAACTTTTAAGATGGAGAGATTTCATTTTGTTCTGCCCCATATCAATCCTTGGCCTTGAATAATCTGTGCAGCATTCTAATAATATTTGCAGTAACCTTTGTATGTCATTGCGTTCAAAGGGTCAAATTTTATAGCCTTGTTTGTTTCAGTAACTAGATATTACATTTTTAAATCGTTATATAACAAGTAGCATTTTCAAAGTAAAAATATTAATACATATTTTTTTATCGATCTGGTTGTCATTAGAAGGATTTTATAAGATGGGGAGTTCGTATCTCCCTAAGCAATGCCTAGAACTTGCAAAAAAAATAAATAAATAGATAAAAAACATGCTTATAATGTCTTGACAAACATTCCCATTTTCTTAACAAAGTTTAAATTTACACTCTCAGTTTTTGTTATATTGTTAGAAACGTTCATTGTTCTCTGCTAGTTCGTCTTTGTTTTGTTATTCTTCTTTTACGATTCTTTTAAAATAACTAAGTTAAGTTTTTGTTGTTTTCTTTATTTATCAATTTTTTTTATAAATTTAGTTCCTTTGTTTTACTAACCTTCAASAAGGAGCAACAAAGCCCAGARACGATTCCATGAGCACATAAGATTTAGCAGCCTGCAGAGTTCAAACTCGATTAAATCACAAAAATAACATTATATCCCAACTCAAAACCTCTGAAATATTGTATGWAAGACGTAATGGCACGAACCTCTGTCAAAATGCAAGCTGAATGGTGCAGGTCAATGGCGTTAATGCAAAATAAGTAAAATAAAATGAATATTTAGTCAAGTGGTAAGTGCCTAGTAACTGTCTATTTACGTGTRCTCAGCTGGCAAGAATTCAAACAGTTTTCTCCGTCGTTGACATGCTGAAATAGATCTATTAAGATTTAATTAGGTTGTGGATGGGCACTTTGTCCGGCACAAGATAAAACGACGATTAGCATGATCTTTGACCTTGCTTAATAGACGCTCAAAAACCGCTTCAATATTCATGATACCCCCATTAACCACAAAAGGGCTTGCTCTCGATGTATCACAGATACAAAAACTAACTAAAAATAAAGTTGTTTTGATAGACTCCCGTGAAATACTTTTCCATCATCGAGCATTATTGAGTGGCACTCGAAACGTTGTGTAAAATGTTATCAATCTGCTTWCTTTAAGTTTGAAAGTTTCAAATACCTGTCGTGTCCTTTCCAAAGCTCCTGTAAGAAGCAATAACACTTCCCATGCCAGTAAATTAGGGGTTTTTCGAACACCATAACAGAGTCTTGGAGGAACCAATATGGCCGACGAAGGAACTTCATGCTCGAATCACCTCTTCATTTTGTTATAGCCCCAAAACTTTCCTTTGACAGCTTGATTTAAACATAGTGCACATCATTAACCTATGTGCACATTCACAGGCCCTTTACAATGTGTTATTTTCAACATATTTGAGATATTAGTAGCACTGAGAGACTTTTCGTCACTTTAGTACACAACGGACCGCACTGAGAGTCAAACCAAAACGCGCAAGTGCTTTTAATTTTGGCGCGAAATCAAAATTCATCTATTTATTATTTGCCAGAATCTTACAACAGATTTTTATTTCATTTACTATCCTTAGCAAATTATTATACAATAGCTAAAAGCTCAAAATATTTCAAAAACTTGTAAAATTTAAAAAAAGACAATGTTGTATGTTACATCGGAATGGGTTTCCTGTGGTGTCTTAGTTTGTAGTTTTGGGGTTCCTGTGTTGTAGCGGAAAGTCAAAAAATCCAAGATGGAGGATGGTGAGTATGTTTGTATATTTTCCAAGAAAATAACAAATTACAGTCATAAATCGAGCCGTAAAGACGTTAGAATCTTTAATTAGATGAATTATTATATTTTGTGCAGAATGAGTATAAAAATCGCTAAAGATCTCGTCTAAAACGACACAAACACGTGTTTTTAGATATGCCTCTTAAATTAGATGAAATGATAGAAAGATATCTTTACTGTATGATATTTTCCTCTATTGAGTATACTGCTTTTAATTCCGTTTTGAAGCTGCGATTTATTGTAATTGAAATCGCTTCACTTTAGAATGTTGTATGCTATTTAATTCACTCAGCTTATAAAACTTGATTTTTTTGTTTTTTATAAGCCATTTTCTATACTTTTAGTCAATTACTCCTATTTGAGCGTGTTCCATAGCAGTTAAATACATGCWATATTATTTTTGAAAAGTTATATTTTGAATTTTGGACATAAAATTGTTTATTTTAGATTTAGAACTGGACTCTGAAGAGAATGCACATGGCCTAGCTGCTCAGCCAGTTAGAAARAACATTTCCCTCAAACTGAAGACAAAATCATCAAAAACATCCACAATGGCTGTCAAGACTAAGAAGAAAGAAACACGAAGCTCTGAGAGGAAGGCTGTCCCAGAGGGTAAGTTGCTTTTTATTTATATTTTACAAATCATTTACTAAAAGATTGATCATTAAATGTATGTGGAATTATATGATCAAGATGGAAGCTGGCTTTCACCCTGATCTGAGTGCATTTGTATTCTTACAATGTACCTCCATCAAAAACTAAGTATTGAAAACATCCCTTAGAAGAATAGTTAGTTTGATACCAGGGTAACTTTATCTCTTCTCAATACTCCTGTGATTATCCTGAGCCGATTTTAAACTGTTATATGAACTGATTTCAGAAAAGACAACAAGAAAAAAGCAGAGATCGCCAGCAGCAAAGCCTGAAGCTATAGAGATGGACTGGAATCACAAGGTAATATCTCATAAGTAATGATCAGAAGAGAAAAGAAACGTCTAGTAAGACTTTAGGAGAGCTGCTACGCATCACCATCTTCACACCCTCAAGCATGTGTAGAAAATAAACATTAAAAACTGGATWGTGAGTGTGAGAAATTATGCTGGAAATTATAGGGTTATACAGTCAAAAGTTCTTATGAAGGATTGAATCATCCCCTTTGATCCAGTACATGTTGAGATGTTTTGGTGACACAGATTATTGTTGCTTTTCAGATAATGATTATTGGCCAAAAGGTGCAGGATCCACTACTACATTTGTGTGAAAAATGCTCATTACCGATTCTTGTGTATGGAAGACTTGTAAGTTAATGATAGTTGAAAAGATGATACAATAACTACCTCTTTGCTAGTATGATGGTGTTAGTGTAACCTTAATTTATATGCAGTTAAAAGATAAAAAGCTTACTGTCATTTGTGCATTTACTGACATTGGTACATTTTTTCAAACCCCTAAAACGTTTTCTAACATTTATTAAGTATGATTTAAATTAGGTATCATGTATCTTTTATTTGAACTCAAAAAAGTCATATTTGTATTGTATGTAGAGTCCTTGCAAGCATTCATTCTGTCTGTCATGTGCTGAAAAAGGAGGAGGAAAATGTCCAAGGTAATGCAGGATTATTTACAGCAATATACTTTATGTTGAAACACATAGTGGTTTTATAAAATGTACAAAAATAGACATGTTTTTTAAGATGTTTTTTAGATGTGGTGAAGGAGCCCAGAGGATTGAGCGTGCTCCTTTAGGAAGTGTATTTGTTTGTTGTTGTTTTGTTTATTTGTTTAAGAGCTGTTTGTATTTGTTTTTAGATGTGTTGAAGGAGCCCAGAGGATTGAGCGTGCTCCTTTAGGAAGTGTATTTGTTTGTTGTTGTTTTGTTTATTTGTTTAAGAGCTGTTTGTATTTGTTTTTAGATGTG